TAACGTATTATTTAAATGTTTAAATGTTTCATATTTATAATATATTAAAATTAATATTTTTAATATATTATTTAAACATTTATATTTATAGTATATTAGAATATCTCTATAAAATTTCTAATAGTGTTAATAGTTATTTAAAATTTAATAATATTTACAATAGTGATAGAATTTGCAAATAAATTTATCTGTCACAGATGCAAATACAAATTAATAAATTTGTACAGATTGATGTATAACAAAAGAAATGTAATTATAATATGTTAACAAATAATTTTTAAAGAATATAATCACATATATAAATTTCTACTTTGTAATATATATTATATAATATACACTATATATTAGCCTATGCAGATATTCATTTATATTTGTTTTATCCATTAAAATATATAAATAATTTTATTCACGAATTGTATTACTAATTTATAATTAATAATTTTAGAATGAAACTTGTAAATTTCTTTAATTTTTTTTATAATATCTATTCTATTAATTATCTAAATTTTTTAAAAAAAATATTATTTGTCTTCTTTAAAAATACTTCAGCCTATTTTTTATAATCATTAATAATTGAATATATATTATATTCCATAAGTTTTTCTGAAGTTTTTTTAATAATAACTGTATAATAAATAAATTTCAAATAAATTTTATTAAAAATACTATTGAAATATATAATGATTACAAATATTATATTTAATTTAAATTTATTTACATTCAAGAATTTTTTATTAAATGAAAATACAGATATTTTTTTTTTTATCAATTTAATATCTTCTTTTATTTTATATAATTTTTTTTTATTATTTTTATTTATTTGTTATAAAAGGTTCAATTTCATTAAAATTCAATATAACAGAACTAATAAAAATAAGTAACTTTTCAATTTAAGTTTTTTTGAATAAATACAAATATTATTAAAATTATATTATCATCATTTCTTTGTTTGCATAGTAGATATAGAAGATAATAGTACAATTAAATTATTACTATTAAAGGATTGTATAGAGAAGTCACTCTTTTGCATTTGTGTTTTAAATTTATTTTTATTTGAATATATATGGAAACAATATTAACAAAGAAATTTTCTTTTTTTATATTTATTATAGTTATATGTTAATCTATGGATATCTTTAATAATATAATAATGGAATTTCAAATTTATTTCTATATTAGAACTTTCTTTTTCAAAAATAACTGACAAATTTTTTTTTTAAATTTTGCATCTTTTCTTTTTAATAATTTGAACTCAAGATATTTATTTTAATTATATATATAAAGATTTATTTTTGAATTATTTTTTTCAAACTTTTCATAACAAGTATAGAAATAGGTATTGGAATTGGAATATCTGTTATATTTAATTTTTTAATATATCTATTATATAACAGATGTGAATTTCTTTCTTAATGAATTTTAACAGAGTATATTATATTTAAAATACACTTATACGTGTTGCCCAAATCCCAAATCATTTGGGATTTGGGATGCCAAAATCCCAAATTACTAGTATTTGGGATTTGGAATTTGGGATTTCGGCAAAAAATACTAATCATAATTTGAGATTTGGGATTTGGGATTTCGGCATTTGGGATTTCAGTATTTGGATTTTGAATTTGGGTGGCAGGTATAAATACACTATTCAAAATATCAATTATTATTATTTTAAATATTAATAATATAATTATTACATTTGATATTGTTTTAGGTAAAGATATATGACTTGCAAGTTTAATTGAATTGAAATTGGCTATTTCAATATTAAAATTTTTACATATATTTTAGATATGCTCTAAATATTTTAGAAGTATAATAGATTTAATCAAAATATTTTGTTTAGAGATATATATACTTTTGTTTAATTTAAAATTTTATTTGTTAAATATAACTCAAGTCAGTGTTAATTTTTATTAAATATATAAAATATATTTAAATAAATATATAACTTTTTAAACTTATGAAAATGTTTATTGAATATATTTATTTTTACAATTCTGAAAGTGTTTGTTATACATAACCTAAAAGTTGTAGATATTATTATAAATATAAAAAACATATCCTTTACATTAATTGTTATAAACTAACTGGATCTACTTGTAGATGATATACTTTACATAAACAAGAATTTTATATAATTAAGTTAACAAATTATGTGAAAAATATATTTATTTAAAGTCAATATATAGAAATTATATGATTAGATTTATTTAGTAATTTTTGTTAGATTTATGATTAATTATATATTATTTTTGTTCTAACTTTTTGACTATTCATAAATTCTTCTAAGATAATTATAAGTTTAAGATATATAATTTATTATAATATATGTTTGATTAGATTTATTAGAACAAAAAAGTATAATGCAAATATAAAATTTTTTATTTTTTGTTCTAACTAATTATCTATTCAAGATGCTTTTAAAAATAATTATAAGTTTAAAATATATAATAGGTAAAAGATTAGAATTATTAAAATCAAAAAATATAAAACAAATATAAAATCATTTAATTTTGTTCTAACTTTTAACTATTTAAAAAATTTTTTAGAAAAAAAAATAAAATATAAGATGAAATACTTTTTATCTTTAACTATTTCCTTGAAAATTAATTGTAACTAGCTAAAATAATAATAAAAAATATAATTTTATTATGGAAAAAATTTTTACTATTATTATTTTAATAATTATGAAATAGAATTTCAACTTTAATAAGAGCAAATAAAAAAAATTTTTTTGAAAGTATCAGATGTTGCTATATATACAAGTCTTTTATTTACTAATATGATATCAAAAATACTATTAAGTAACTTCAAAGTCAAAAAGAATTACTTATTACTTTAAAATTGATCAAATAATAATATTTAAATTTTTTACAATGATTATAAAATTTAAATGCTTTTCATTTGATCAAATTAAAAGTAATGGATGTGTAAATTTTAAAAATATGCACTTTGTTCTTAACTTTGAGGTTTCTTAATAGTACTTTTGATGTTTAATTAGTAAATAAAAAAATTAAAATTATAAAATTTGTAAAGTTAATTAAATAAGTATTAATAGTTGCTACATAGGTAAGTCTTTTACTTACTAAATATGTTATTAAGAAATCTTAAAGTTAATAATAGAATAAATATACTTTAAAATTTACACATCTTTTACTTTAAAAATTGACCAAATAATATTTAAAATTTCTCAAATTATTATAGAAAGTTTAATCATTTATTATTCGATCAATTTTAAAGTAACAGTGGTGTAAATTTTACAGCTGATGCATTACATTCTTAACTTTAAGGTTCATTAATAGCATTTTTGATATTTAATTAGCAAGTAAAAGACTTATATATGTAGCGACGATCGATATTTAATTTTCGAAATTTTTAAATAAATTTTTTATACTTGTTTTTTTTTGCTATATTTTATATAATATTTTATATATCTCAAAATTTTGTAGATCTTTTACTTATTTGCAAATATTTCTTGTCATATTTGTGTATTCAACTGGTAAGAGGTGATTTGTAGAATATTTACAAATATCTAAAAACATGCAAATTACCAGAAATAGAAGATCAATAATTGATAAAATTGATAAAATTCTTTTAACTCTTATTTTACAATATAATAGTATCGGGATATATGCTAAGTACAGTACTCGAATATATTACTTTAACTATTTGCCCTATTTTTTAATACTTTTTATAATGAAATAAATAAAAAATAATAATAGTCAATGTAATGAATCTTTCTGATGAAATGTATTAAGGTATATATAAATTTAATAAAAAATTTCTCAAAAAGGGTATTTTTGCATGACTATGGCCAGTAAATTACGATAACTTACGTTTACAATATTTCTGTTGTTAGATCATATGAAAATATGAATTCGTGAATTCGTGCTACAGTAGAAATATATATATTCAGTTTTCAAGTATAATGTAGACATAATACATATACAAATGTAATTCTTTTCTCTTTGTAATATTGTTATTGGATTTTTTAGGTATTTCATATATACAGTATATATATATATTTTTTTTAAGAAAAAACTAAGTTAACACGCCTTGAGAAATTATTTACAAAATAATTTTTAACAAAAGATTATTTGATTATTAAAATAAATAGACCTCTTTGTATAAATAAAAAATTTTTAAAAATTTTACTTATTGAAAAAAATAAAAAAAAAATATGTATTGCATGCGTTGGTTCATTCCTCTACTTCTTCTTCCCTTCCCGAACGCACCTCCATTTTTTGTACTTACTTTTCTGGTATCATACTTTTTACATCAAAGACCCTGGTAAGAACAATAAAATTCACTAAATTATTTTAAATCATTTAATTCTTATTTACTTACATTTCATTTTATATTTTTGATTTATATTTCAAAAATTCCAATTAAATGATTTTTCTTACACGTTAATAAGTGTATATTGTACAATATTATTACTTGCACTTTTTTCAAGTACGTGTTATTGGGGACAAGGACGTTGTTGGTTAGATACAAATAATGGACATTTTCTCGAAACAAGATCAATTCATTCATCATTCAATTCAGCATCATCATCATCATCATCGAATGAAATGGCAGGAGGAAATTTACTGGATTCAAATTCTAGAGTACCAAATGGTTAAAAATCATCAGAAATTATTTAAATTATTTAATTATTTGTCGGGAATTAAATCTGATCTTTGCTGTTTTTAAATTGGTAATTTGGAAAAAAACTGAACAATCTTTCATCATCTTTCATAATCTTCATAATTAATATCATACATACATACATATATATTGTATTGAAGAAGACTTTATATTGTATTTGATTTTATTTCATAATATTATTATTACAATATTTTATTGTAAAGAGAAAAAAAAATGATGATTGAATTTATTGAAATTAAGGAATTATTACAGAGAAAAAAAAATTCTTTAATTATTATTTTATCAATTAAAAGATTCACCAACAAAAGTTCTTTAAAAATTACTGAAGAGGTTCATCTCGATTAGAAATTCTATTTAAATGGAGATATACATCTGTTCCATATCTAAAATTAATAATAATAATAAAAAAAAAAATTATCAAAATTTAAAAATATTTACAACAAAAAAAAAAAAAAATACATCAAATAAATTCAAATTCAATTTACCCTTCCATTGAAATCAATTTCAAATCACCACCAAAATATCTTGCATACTGTTAAATGAAATTCAGATAAATTAAATATTAAAAGAAATAATTAAACATTAAAGAAATAATTAAACAAAAGAAATAATTAAATATTAAAGAAAAGAATTTAAATATTAAATAAATAACATACTAATCTACTAATGGGTAATCCATAACCAAGACCTGCCATTGGTGCCTTGAAATCTGATGGACTAGTCTCCGGATCTATTGTTTTGGGTTCAGCTGTTGTAAACATATATGTCCACACTAAAGCAATACTACTTCTTGGAATTCCTCCCCCCTCATCTGATATTTTAATTGTAATATCCTAAAGAAATAAATAAAATAAATGTAAAGAAAATAAATAAAGTAAAATGTAAATAAAATAAAATGTAAAGTCTTTAAAAAAAATATATATGTGTATAAATTGTTGTATTAGTTAAATTTATTAAATTACCTCTTTTCCTTCAGCAACAATTACTTTTATTGGTGGATATGAATCAGCTTCGTCACCAAAAAGTTCTACAACTGCACGTAAACTATTTTTGAATAATTCAAACAACATATGACTCAAATGTGAAGGCACATATGTAAATATTAAATCTTTGGGACAAAATAATTGAACCTCGGGTGAACGAAAGAGACCATAATAATCTTCACATATGTATTTAGCATTGTCAACCGCTTCTTGAACTGTTTGAGCAATATTTGTTTTAGTACAAATAATACCAACATAATCTGGTCGGGCGGGAAGTCGATTCAATGCAACATGTTGACCTTTTATTTAAAAAAAAAAAAAATAAAATAAATAAATAAATTTTTCATAAAATAAAACTTTGGAATAAGATTTTTTTTTTTCGTACATTAATTAATTGAAGATCGTTAAATCATATGATTATAAAAGACTGACCAATTAACATCCGAATCCCGATACGTGACATATAAAAACGATCCAAAAACGCTTGAATGTTGGTATTTATCCCATCTGAATTTTTATGTTTTTTATATTCCAAAATTCCCTGAGCTAAAGGTACCCAATTTTATGTTTAGAATCTTTTCTTTTTTTCATAATAATAATTTTAAGTAGTTTATTTATTGATATCAACAACGAAATCTTACCCTAGAAATAATATAACAACTCGTGAGATGATCTAAATTACGAACGATATAAATTTGAATTATGTATAAAAATTTATAAATGAAATTATATATATATATATATACCACTGTAGTTACGACAGGATCATGTCTTCTCTTAATTCCTTCAATCAATTTGGTAAATTTTTCATTATAAATACGAATTTCTGGTGGCCATTCTATTTCGTTAAGAAATGCATAATATCTAAAGAAAAAAAAAGAACGCGTCATTAAATAAAAATAATTATTATAATTAAAAATAAATTTATCTTAATCATACCTGTGTTTAAGTGGAACCGCTGTTTTTATAGTTCCAATAGGTGATGGTTTAAATAAATTAGGCGCGTTTTCTGGTAATCGTGTAATTTCTGTAATTTCTGAAACATTACCATTACCCGTTAACTTTTCTTTTATACTTGATGGTAATTCAAGTTTAGGAAATGACACAAGTTCCTAATAATTAAACTTATCAACAAATATATTCAAAAAAATATACCAATGTTTTAAATTCTCAAAGTTTTATTTTTTTATTTTTATTTTTATTTTTATTTTATTTTTTTATTTTTACCTCAAATGACTGCGCATACCAATTTTTAACTTTAATTATTGATGGCATCTGGCTTAAATCATTTGGTAATTCATCTAATTCTTTAACTCTATGCGCGAGTCGAATTGGAAGTTCATCTATTTAAGAAGGAAGGAATAAAAGAATAGATAGTCAGGTAATATATTAAAACCTGGAATGTCAATGATTTAATAACAATTATTAAAAACGAAAATCCACACCTGCCAAAAATTGGGCTGCTCTTAATAATGTTCCTTGAGAGGGATTTTGTCCTGTAACAGGAAATATATTTTTATAAACGGTAAAAAAAAAAAAAATTGAGATTATATTGAGAACAAAAAGGGTATTTGAAATATTTATAGAATGAACACGCACCAAACATGACCATCTGCTTCAAAGATACGCCAGTTTGGGGGAAACGTGTAAAATGTCTAATTTTTTCTTGAAGTCTCTCAGAGATTCTGTATGCCATATTTTTGACTTATTGTAGGATCTTCGCGAATTGACTTTAGAAAAAAGCATTAAGTAATAAAAAAAAAATTCGAAAAAAAAAAAAAAAAATTTTTTTTTTTTCAAATAAAATACATATGTATATATATAAGTTTTGAAGTAATATTTATAACACAGACACATTTGTGGCTCGTGAAATATCACATGAAGAACACAGACACATTTGCGGTTCGTGAATATGTTTGTACGACAAAGTTTTAATTTAAATTACAATTTCTCCTTCTATTATTTTATTATCTAAACCTAACTTTTTTAAACAATTATAATATCTTTCTAAACTTTCACGTTTTAAATATTTAAGAATTCCTTGTCGTTTATGAACCAAAGTTCGTAAATTACGATAATTGTGTTTATCTTTATGATTCTTTTGAAGATGTTCGTGGAGATTTAAAATTCGTACGGTCCAAATTGCGGCTATTATAAAAAGAGAGAGATCTATATATAAATATCTTCACCATATCATTTTTGTATATCATTTGATTCTTAATAAATAAATTTAATAAATTTAATAAATTTATACTTGCCTTGAACTTCTGCACTTCCAGTATCATTTGGAAACCTCGCAAATTCTTCTACGGCTTTTTTAATATTATGCTTCATAATAGATCGAGAATTCGCATTATGCAAACTAACCATGGATTTCAAAATTTTAACTTTTTCTGATTCATTTTCTAATCGTTTATCTCTCGTTTCATTTGATTCTGAATTTTCACACATTTTTTCAGGTAATTTTTTAAAAACAATTTCTGCATCACTTCCATCAATAAAATAATTATTATATTGAGGAAGAGTTAAATCAGTTGCTGTTTTATAAACATCCGAAGGTCTAAGTAAAGATCTCGTAAATTCTGTGGGTACTCCAGTAATAGGATTAGGTTTATTTTCCTTTTCTTCTTCTAATTTGGCTAATTTTTTAGCAAGATTTTTCTTTTTTATTTCTCGAGGAATTCTTTTTAAAGTTGGAAATGTTGAGTGAAAAGTACGTTCTGAAAAAAGAAAAAGTTAATTCGATAATAAATTATCAGAAAATGACTTTAACTAACATTATTGACTAATATTGGGAGATAATATTAGTCTACTATTACCTAATACCGAAGTTGAGAAAGAAACTTTAACAGTAGAAAAGTGTTTTGTGCAACGCGCAAACATTGACTAGAAGAGTAGGAATGATAATCTTTTTAAGATTCCATTGGCCAATTAAATTATAATTCAGATTGTTACACGAATAAACAATTTCAGTAAAAAAAATTTTGATTATCACATTTTATTTTATTTTTTTACAATTTTACATATAAAAGGATTTTGAATTCAAAGAATCTCGAGGGAACAAAATAATACCATTCTTATTAACAACTTTTAAAAAATATTCTGGTTTTAAGCATCCATTAATTCCTGAGGTCAGTATAACCCCATTAGATGATCGATAAAATTCTATACCATCTAATTAAAAAAAAAAAGAATTATCAAAAATCATTAAAAATTTAAAATTATTGAATCTTTCTTTTTAACAAATAATACAAACCTTCCGTTGCTTTCTTAGCATTGATATAAATGAACAAATCGCAATTTGCTCTCACGCCTTAAAATATATATATATACATTAGTTATATAAAAAATGGTTAACAAAAGTATAAATATATATATACAAATAAAATTGGTACTTACCACTCGTAACATTTGGATCTCCAAATTGCCCAATAGAACAATGAATATGATTACGATTCATTTTACGAAGTCCTTCTTTTTCTATATTATATGTAATGTTAAACATAAATATGGTGAAAATATAAAGTAATTTTTAAAAAGTGAATAAAAAATTTATACCTATAATTTCCCATTTTCTTAAGTATGTACCATGTACTACAGTGGGAATTTGTTCATAATCCGTTATCTTTTCAAGTTCTAAATCTTTTACCTACAAATAATTATTAAAATGAAATATTATTACAAATAATTTAAATTCAAAATTCAAAATAAATACGAACAATATGAAATTTATGAAATAAAATACTTCAATGCTATGTCCTTGATTAGCCCTTATATACAATTCCGAATTTTCAATCTTTAAAGAAAATCGTTGTTTATCGTTATTATCTACAACAGATCGAATATCTTCAACAGACTTTCCTTTAAATTGTTGTAGCTTCAACTAAAAAAAAACGATCAAAGGATTAAAAAGATTAAACAAAAGATGCAAAGAGAAAGACCATACTTCATTAATCATACCAACTCGTTTAACTTGACAAACCCGTCATCGCCTATTTCTAACCCCCTTTCCTTGGCACTGTGGCGAAGTATATTAGATAATAATTTCGATAGTTTAACTTGAGAGGAATCATTACGGTCTTTACGTCGCTTACCAGGTTTTGAAGACATGATTTTCAAATACGCAGAATGTTTTAATTTTTAAAAATTGATCAACAACATTTTGATCAAGTGATTCTTAAAAAATGTTATCTAAATATAACCATATCATTTGTAGAGGTTGTAGAATTTCACTCTACCAACACAATAAAAATTTGTTTTTACTGATGGCGGACGAAAAACAAACTTCGGTTGAAACTCAATTTACTAAAGTGAGTACCGAAGAAGGATCTAACTTTTCGCAATCACCTTCACGGCCTCCGCTTCCTAAGTCTTTTTTGGCATTTAATCCTTCAAGACCTTCAGTTAATGTTGATGAATTTGTTGATCCTTTAGCTTTAGATCATAATATTGCTTTGCGTGGAAATTTTGAAAAAACTTTTGGGAATTCAAGACAAACTGACCACGGATTACAAAGTCAACAAAGATATTTTAAACAAAATTTTGAAAATAATTTTGGTAATCTAAGAAAGTCTGATTATGGATTTCGAACGTATCAACAAAATTCTAAAGGCAACAGAAGTCCAGGAAAGCGTGATAACAAAAATAGAAATAACATGTTTAATCCAAAGGTTTCAAAGGTTTTTTTTTTTTAATTCACAAATTTTTTTTATTAATTTGTACAAAATTAATTAAACAAAACTAATTTGTAAACTATTTCTTTCTTTTTTTTTAAAAAAAAATTAAAGAAACCTCGGTTTGAAGATAATAATGTAAAACCGAATATAAGTAAATATTTCAAAGAATCCTTCTTGGAAGATCCATGGGCTCATTTGTTTTCGATGAAATAATGTCTCTACTATCATGTGACGGCACAGGAATTGATTCACGTGTCTCATCACTATAACAATTATGTCAATTGCTGGTTGGTCGTTGCTGATAGAAAGACCCTTTTTCCCTTGAACGAAAATTTTTGCATCATTTACATAGCGTAAAGCGATCAATTCAAAGTAAATTGATTTTTTATTTTATTTATTTATTTTCTGTATAATATGTATGATAAACGTTCTTACGTTATGTTACGCTGAGATCTATTTAATTATTTAAACCTTAAAGTGGCCAAAAAAGCCAAAACAAGGTAAATACATTCTTTATAAAATAATAATAAAAAAAAAAAAAAGTTCAGTAGAACTCTTATAAAAAAAAAATTTAAATGAAAAATAAATGATGATTATTATTATCATAGGACAACTTTAGTAAAATTGGTTTCGACAGCAGGCACTGGATATTTTTATACAAGAATTCGACCAAGACAATTGCCTAAATTATCTTGTCTTAAATACGATCCTCGAGGTAAAAATATAATATTTAAAGAAATTTATAAATTTTATAATTATTATTATAATAATTATTATTATTCTATCAATTCAATTAATTTAATCTGGTTTATAAAAAAAAAAGTCAAGAGACACGTTTTATTTACAGAACATAAAATCAGATAAGATTTTTTTTTTTTTTAAAAAAAAAAAAAATGATGATGATGTAAAGTTCATAATTTGAATATCCATTAAAGAATCACTAATAATGAAAGCTTAAAAGTCTTGGTATTGTTTAAAGAATAAAAGGAAATCTGATTTTTCACTGTAATTTTATCTTTATTTTTATTTATTTATTTATTTATTATTTTCCAGTTCTTTTTTACGTTTCAACATAAGTCGCTTTCTACGCAAAAAACTTTTTTAATAAACATTATTATAAACATTATAAAACATTATAATAGAATAAAATATTATAAATAGAATTTAGTCAATTCTCATTAAAAAAAAAAAGAAAAGGATCAAAAGATATTTAATTTATCATCTCGCATATATCAAAAAATGCAAGTTTCAAAAACACTATAAACTTACTCTTCATATTGGCATTTTTCATAGGCATGTTTCTCTTCCTCACATTTCCAAGGAAAAAAATTATTTTTATAACGACATGAGTTTAAGGGTATTAATAAATGTGCACAATAATCTCGATGTGACAAAGGCAAACGTGCTTCAGCCATTTCTTGTTGAGTAGCTATCATAACTTTTTGAAATTTGTATTATTATAAAAAATCATTAAATTCATTAAATACTTTTGAATTTTATAAAAATTAAATTCATGAATGTCATAATAAAATATTTATTATAAAGGTTGATATTCTACAATACCAGGATTTTCGTCGGGGTCTTCAAGAGATGTTTCAACCATTTTTTTTTATTTTTAGCGATCATCCCCCCAGGCGACTATAATTTTAATTTATGTAACAGATTAATGCTAAGCAATGATAGGTAATACTAAGTAAAACTAATACAAAGTAAAACTTCAAAGTTTTGATTTAAAAAAAAGCTTGATAAATTAACTATTATTTTTTCGATTTCTCGGGCAACATGATCGAAACAATTTTTGACAAAAAAAAATACAAAGATATTATTAAAAAAATAGTCAAGAGAATAAAATAACTAGGAGTATACAAATCTCCCATCATATAAAAATTAGTACTTAAATTCAAAGTGAATGGCATAAGAATAATAGCTTTATTTCGAAGTAAATAATAATAATAACTAAACTAATCCTAAATAAACTGTCCCAAATGAAGAAAATAATCTAAACAGAATAATATTTAAATAACTAAAATTTATACTTTAACCAGCATCGTAACGCATATCTCGGTTATCCAATCATATTATTTTAATAATTTAAATAACCAGTCAATGATTCACGTATTTCAACGTATTTAAATCAAATGCCGAAATACTATTGCGGTAAAGATCAAGAATTATTAGATCTGTTTCTTTCATAACTTGAATTATTCGAGATCTAACATTTTGAAACTATTTTTATGTATCAATCAAATACATGGGTCTAAAGACTACTGTGATGTATATTTAACTCATGGTAAGTATATGCTATTGATCTTTTCGTTAGATCTTGATTATTAAATTGAAAAAAGCGATGGCTTATCATTTTATTAAAAACAACACAAGATTCCTCCTCAGTGCGCAAAGCTCATAACAATGGTAAAAATCATATCATGAATGTTAGAAATTATTATGCGGGTAGGTTTTTTAGTTCTTTTTTTTGATTTTTTTTTTTTGATTTGAGACATTTTACTTAGATTATTGTCATTTAATGTATTAAATATAATTGAAAAAATAGAATTAGGTCAAGATAAAGCACAGGCAATTATCGATGAAATTACTAAGGCTTATGAGCGAGCGGGACAATCCGGTAAGTTTCTTTTTTATTAAATTTTGAAATATTTTATTTTTATCTAAAATATACGCTCAAAACAAATTATCTTTATTATAGGCTTTCCACCTCAGTATGGATACGCTCCAGGTGTTCCTCCAGTATCACCCGCTGCAGCACCAGTAGCTACTACTCCTTATGGTGGTAAGTTCATATGTCTTACGGCTTGATTTAATTTAATTTTTTTTTTTTTGATTTAATTGCTAATTCGCGAATGAATGGGAATGGTAATTGGGAAAAAATTTATTATAGTGAATTAAAATCTAGATTTCCTGTGAAACATGATAAATATAAGTTTTTTTATATTAAATTCACATTTGTGGATTGTCAATTAATATTTTAAATAATTATGATGATAACTTTTCCTTTTTTTTTTTAAAAAAAAAAAAGGACCAGTTGTTCCGCCAATTATGATGGGTCGAACCGCAGGTAACATTCCTCCTGGTACTGTTCCTGGACCTGCCCCAGGTATAGGTGCACCACCACCAGGACTTGGAGGACCAGCACCTGGTACTATTCCACAAATTCCATCAAGTTCAAGTTCTCAACCTGTTGCAAGACCACCATCAACAGCGGGACAAACTCCACAGCCCTTTGGAGGGCCACCTTCGAATAATAATTTCATAAGATCAGGTCAAACACCAGGGTTCCAACCATCACAAGGGAATGTATCACAACCACCACCCGGACCCTTATAATTGGTTCCAAGAAATCATTTTAACTTTACCTTTCCTAGAAATTTTTTCAAGTTATATATATATATGTTTAAACCATGTTTAATTTTATAACCTGCCTAGAAAAAAAAATAAGGGATGGTGGCACGGACCTTTCTAAAATATAAAAATTGTATTGTTATTATGTGAGTATAATACCGATTTTTTTGAATCAAGAAAGAAACAAACCAACGAAATCCATGTGAGTTAACAAGTAATGATTCGATGATTAGATACTGATATTGAATAATTATATAAATTAGACTTAATAATTTCCAAAACTTTTGCGTTATCATCATCTTCGAGAGTTTACAAATTCGTTATTTTCAAAAAAAAAATAAATAAATAAATATTTTGAAATATTTCGCGGCAATACCAATATCATCAACAATACACAACCAATTCCCAAAACTTAATTTCTCAATTTAATTGTAGGTGAAATTGTAATATTACAGATAAAAGCTTTGAGAACAAATTATTCAAATAATTCTCTTTTATTAAATTTTATAAAAAAAAAAGAAAACTATAAAGAAATCAAATTTAAATAATGGTTGAACCAATATCAATAAGTTTTATAATAGTGGCCGCAGTAATCCTTGCGTTTACTACTTTTGACAATCCCGTAATATGTTCATTACCAACTTGTATTGATGGTGATGATGATAATAATAATACAACTTTTCAAGTGATAATGGATGATGAAAGTTATGATACTGATGTGGAAGCAACAGAATACGATTATTTAGAGTTTATGATTGGAATTATGAAGAAAATTATGATATGGACGATAGTAGTAATTATTCTTCAGGGACGACAATTTGTGGAACGGATTGAAAATTCATTTTTCAATTAGTGTAGTCTTCGCGGTAGGATATATTTGATATCTACAAAATTGGTGGTAAATGAACAATAAAAATTTTTTAATGACAAAACTTTGTAAAACACAATTACATAGTATAACATATAAAACATTAAAGATATCACATGATGGAAACTTATGAAAACCTTTAACTAAAGTTCCAAATGAATATTAAAACTTGTGAGTTCAACAAGCTAAGCCAAGTCGAACCAAGCGAAACTAGTATTATAGGTAGTTCTTCTAAAAAGTTGAATTGATTTGAATCAACTTGAATTGAATCGAGCCTAAGGATAAAAACTAATATTGTATATGAATTAAAACAAACTATTAAAAAATTAATTTACAAGTTTATTAGTACCTTTTTAATATATTTAATTATAATTTCAAATTTATTTTTTTTACAATATATAAGTTTAAAATTTGTATCTTGATTTCTTTTACAAAAGCAATGGAAAAAATGATTCAGCATAAGTAAATATTTAATAATTTCAATAGTAGATATTTATTTACTTCCAGAAATATTTTTTAGCTATTTATGTTAATCTACAGTAATAGCTTAATTCTAGTTATTATAATCATCACAATTCTTTAGTTTTTTATTATAATTATATTGCTTTTCAATTTAATTTTTATTTTCAAATTCTTTATCTAATTTTAATTTTTTTCCTTCAAGTTTTCATTGTAAAATTTGTCACAAACAATCTTTTCCTTTTTTGTGAATGAAATTTGAAGTTTTAATTTCAAAAATACTTACTGATAAGATGATAAGAACTTCATAATAGTAATTTTTTGAACACTGTAATTTATATTATTAAAATTATTGAAAGTACATAATAGTATAAATTCATAACAGTTTATTTTGTACTATGATTCAAGTATCAATAGAACTTCTGTGGTTCAGAGTTAAATAAATATATCTATAAAATATTAGACTTGTCTTTTACAAACTTGAATTAGATAAGCATAGAGGAAGTTTGATTTTACTAGTTGATGATTTGTTAATCATAATATACCTTAAAAATTATAAAAATTATAATATATATAACATATATAATATATAATTGATTTTGTCATAAATTTAATTTATTTATTATTGTGTAATTGTGTCATGTGGTCTTTATCTGACAATCCAAAATTACGTTTTGATATTTTATATTTAAAATATCAAAAACGTAATTTTGGTTTACTCCTACGCGTCCATTAAGGTCTTTCGCTATGCTCCGGACAAACCTCGAGGACTTGGAGGCGCTCATAATACATCCACAAAAGAAATTCTTGCAGTTCCATGTCATAAAATTACTTTGGTAATGAAAAGCCCAAAAAATGGGGTTATGTAAAAGAACACGAATTTTCAGAATGGATATTTGAATCTCACTACGATACTAATTTCAATGATCTCATGTGCTGATTTTTTAAGAAATTGAATGGAGACTTGGAAATTTATCATGGATTGAAACCGGCATCACATATTAATTTATTTAATTTAAATAGAAATGATTACTTGGATTATAATGATATTATTAGTTTACTTGAACAAAAATTTAGGTGTTAAAAAAAAAAAAAAGATTTAAAATGATTTTACCAGTTTAACATTTATGAGTATTTACATTTATTTTTCTCCCATATTCCATGGCTTTTATCGGAATTTTACTAAAGAAAACAGAGAAATAAAAAGCAAAACTTCGAGCCTGAGAAAAAATGGGACAATAATTGTTTATATAATTAAAAATGTATTATTCAATCTTGTAATAAAGCTTTCTCCAGTATTGAAATTTTTAATCTTTTATCCATGTGTATGAGATATTTAATTTTTATCATTGCAAAAAGTAGAAATTTTATTACAATTATTATCTATTAGGATCATCTATTTTCTTCTACTTTTTTAATTTCCAATTCGGTCAATTGTTCATTTACTACAGATATACTTAAATTTTTTTCATTAGCCAAGTGTAATAAACATATGAAACAAAATGGTACCGAAATATCTTTAATCTTTTTTTCAGGATAGATTCTTTTCAAATCTTTTATGACAGTGGTAAATTTTTGTTCTGTGATTTGTTCATTTGGGGCAGTTGTCTGATTTTCATCATCTTGGTCAGAGGTTAGATTATTGTCTGACAATGATCTTCTTGTGAAATTCTCTTCATTCTAAAATTTTATTATTATCAAATGTTAATCTAAATGAATTTACTATACGTATATATAAATTGATATATGACCATTGCTTACATTGAAAACCAACGTTTTCCATATGTTATCTTTTAATTTTTTAACATCAACCCTTTTCGCGGTTCTAGCAAATTTAATTTGATCTGGCTTAACGCGTCTAGTTTGGGTCACTAAATTGTCTCCAAATTCTCCTTCATCAATTATTTCATCATCATCATCATAATTGTACATTGTTCCCAATGTTACCATTGCTATTTTTAGAAATTTATTTAAAATGTTTAAATATATATATATATGTTGTGTGTGAAAAAAAAAATAGATCATTTTGTTGAAAACTTTACTTGTATCGGGAAACGCATTGTCATTAATATTCTCTTCTGCCCAGAAATTTTCATCTACTTCGGGATCATCACCTTTTAATAAATTAAATTTTCAAAAAATTTCTTTAGATTTCATTAAATTTTGGTATATGATTATATAATAAGAATTTCATACCATTATCGATTTTTTCTTCATATCTACGTTTTGACCTTAACTAATAATAAAAATAAAAATAAAAATAAAAATAAAAATAAAAAAAATAAAAATAAAAATAAAAATAAAAATAAAAATAAAAATAAAATAAAAATAAATAAAAAGCGATTTTCAATTAAAATCATACCTTATATTCTGGTTTTAAAAACAATTGAAGCAATTGTTTAGATGAAAAATGTATATCATCAGGAAGTCGATAACCATGTGGAACGTATTCAGCTAATTTTGGTAATATAAGAGTGCTCCCTCCCGAAATAAAAATAGTAGATTCATCCACATCTTCTGATTCAATAAAATCAATAGAAAAGGCTTTTTTCTTTTTCTTTTCTTTTGATTCTTCATTAGTCTCGGTTCTCGCTTCTTAATATATGTTAATTTTTTTGAATTGAAAAACAAATAAAAAGAATATTGGTAATACGTTTTAACAACCCATTTTAATTTCAATAAAAGAATATTTAAAATTTACCTTTAACGACACGTTTCAATTTCCAATGTTCTGGACCCGCCCAATTACGTAAAAATGCAGAATCAAAATATGAAAACATATCATTCTGATGATTTGCCATAGCCGTAACAAATTCATTTTCATTTTCGATCGGTTGATTGTTTCTTGATTCTATTACGTTCTCCGCATTAAATATTTCACGTATACCATTTTCATCCGCCTCATCGTCTTCTTCCAAGAATTCATCATTAGCAAAGAAATCCGGATAATCCGGATTATCATCAATACCGTTAAATAAGAAATCATCAGATGATCCCGGTTGATTATTTTCTTCATCTTCATCATCTTCTGTACTTTTATGTATTAAATACCCTAGATCACCGTTATTTTCACCAGAAAATTCAAAGGATCTTAAACTGGGGCAAATTTTTTTGGTAAATATATGTGAAAGTTGATCATAAAATTTGGCTAAATAATGTATATAGAACATTTATAGAAATGTTTATAGAAAATATATAGAAATGTATATAGAATGGATATATATAGAAATATATTAGCGTTAAAATTATAAATTTACCGAAAAACGCGTAATTAATTAATATTATTATTATTTCATACATCGAAGTTTTGATAAATCCATATCTTGTTCTGAGATATCTTCCTCCATCGCATTTAAATCATTATCATTATCAATATCATCTAAATCTAAAATAGCATCGCTTGCATCAAAAATGATTTTACTATCGGTATCAATGGACAAATGATTTAATAATAATCCTTGAGCTCCTCCTTCATCAAAATCTGCACAAGTCTTTTTGAAAAGAGGATCAACTGAAAATTCCAAATCAAATTTCTTTATTGTTATTTGTGAATAATCTTTAACTAATGTAGTTTCACTTCTAGTCTAATAATGATAAGAAATGTCAATAATTTTCATTATAATTTCAAATTATTAAAATAATTAAATTATGATTCGCCTTTTTTTTCCTTCTTTTAATTACCTTTTTACGAACTCGTCTTTCTGAATCAACTCCTTCTTCACCTTCATCATCTTCATTCTCAGAGAATTGATCATTATCTTTCTCTTAATAATAAAATCAAAAATAGGATTTTTTTTCATGGTGTCTTGTGCGTCAATCATTAAATAAATTCATTCAAAATAAATTTTTTAAACTAACTGGTGCTATCTGCTAAACCGCTCAAAAGTTTTCCCGTTTCAGTAGCAACGGAATCCACACGTGAGGTGTAGATCTTTACGCATCCATCCAAAGTACACGAGGCTTTTTGGAAATTTATTGAATCACCTTCTTTCAAAAATCTCATTTCATGAAAATAATCAATCAATGCTAATTTCCAACTATTATGTGCATTAATTTTCTAAAATTGAAATAAATAAATATTAAATTTCATCAATTTAAATTTAAATTTCATTTCTTTCCTCCAAAAAAAAAATTATCTAAAAATATTTTAATTTAAATAAATAAATTTCAAATATATGTATTCATTTAACCCATTTATTCTAAAATATACTATTTATATGAATTATATAATACATTATCTGTCGCCATTTTCATCCACTCTTCAAAATTATTATACATTTGTTCTGGTGGAATCTTTGGTATAGGTGTAACAACATCTATTGTTAAAGGTCTTTGAGGTGTAGTAGTTATTATGAAGCTCTGGCTTCCTCCTGGAGTATTAGGAGAACTTAATAATAATGACTTTCTTCGTGAAGATTCCATCAATGACTTTCTACGTTGTCGTTTTTCCCATTCATCGTCATTGAGAGGTACTGCATTTAATTTCCTTTGAGGAGCTTTTAACGATGTTCCAGCCGAATGACGACGTCTAGGAGGGGTTTCTGACATATCCATATCACCTAATTAAATGATACTTTATTATACTAATTAAAACTAATAAGAAAATATTATCAAACGACTAATTGGTATCTTTTTTTTTTTTTTTACGCGTTTTATTATATTTTGACAGTCACGCGTTATGGTGACGTATTTGAGGATCACATGATATAAATCAATGTTTTTGTTGACAAATAACGTTCACCAAAACTGAAATTTTATTTTATTTATTTTTTTTTCGACTAGCTTTATTAGTTATGAAAGAAAATACATGCTATTCTATTATAGATCAAGACGTAGTTTGAACTGTCAAAGGTGCACGCTAACATAATTAAAGTATAATTAAAATCTAATAATTTATAAATCCTCGTAGGATCGTTGGACAAATGTACCTTTTAAAGCTTTTTTTTAAAAAATTTTAAATTTGATTTAATTAATGGAAATTAGGATAAAAATAATTAATAATAAAAAAAGGAAAAAAAAAAGGATTAAAGTGATTAAAAGAGTTAAATGAATTAAAAGAGTCTATAAAATAAAAATTTTTAAATTGATTATCTAATTATCTAATTGTTTATTGTTGAATATTTTCGGTAGTATCAACAGTAATTTCGGATTTTGCTTTCTTTTCATTGGCAATTCTTATTGCTTCATGATATACATCAGTTGCTTGTTTTGAAGTGTTAAGATAAAATTCAGCCATTTTTTTACCGGCATTTGTGTCAAGAGCTCGTGTAGTTGTATCTTGAACTTGTGAAGCAGCATATTTTACTTTGTCTTGTACTGCATATTTTTCATTAATTTCAGTAGCCTTAGTGGTGACAGTTTCAGAGACCTTATATTGTTCATCCAAAGATTTGACTAAAAAATTAAAAAATTTTTTTTTAATTTTTCGGATGAATGAATAAATTATAAACATAAAATAATTTATTTAATAACTTACTATTATTTTGAATTTTATTCAAATATTCTTTAACTCGTGCGCTGAGTCCAATCGATTCTAATATATATATATATATTAATTTTTACAATTTGACTAAAAATTTTTCACAAATTTTATTTATTTTATATTTACTATCAAAATCGATTCCCCTTTGAATAATAACATCCGTTAATTGATATCCTGCTGCCAAAATTTCAGAAAATATGGCGGCCTTGGGCTATTATTATTATTATTATTATTATTTTTTTAAAAAAAAAAAAAAAAATTTAACATTTCAAAAAAAAAAATAAAAATTGAGACCCTTAATAATCATGGCAAATTTACCCTAACCTTATCTTCTTGTTCTATACCATCTCCGGATTCCGATGATTCCTCACTAGTAGATAAGCAACTTTCATCAAGTTTGACTGTAATTGGAACTTTTTCAAGAACAGCATTTGAAAGCATTAAAGCAGTTTTAGCTCCTTCTGCTTTTTCAAAGGTGATATGTGCAATTTGCTTATCACTTGTATCATCCTTTACAAGTTCCAATTCTTGTATTTTTCCGCCAAATCCGAAAAATTCCCTAACTATTTTTTTTTAATTTTTTTTTTTTAAAAAAAGGGAAGGGTTTACAAAGTGTGCAATATATTATCCTTAATTGCAATAAATTAACATACCAGTGTTCTCGGAAACGGAAGGGGAAATATCTGTTACAATAATTTTATTAGACATTTTTTTATTTTTTCAAAAATGATAATGACAAAATTTATTTTTTTTTTGAAAATTTGATAGCGTTATTTATGTAAAAAAAAATGATCCTTTTATTTTTCTTTTTTTAGCAAATCTTATTCTTTCAATAGAGTGATATGACGTTATTTGAACATCATATTTAATTTATTCGAGAAATCTCGTGAAAATATTTAATTCCTTGTGAAAGTAACCATTTCTTGTTTAAAGCACCTGTTGATACGATCTTACACATGCAAGATTTTTTATTAATGTTTACTTTATAAATGATTTAGTTATTCCGAATAATTCACGTGATAGTTTATTAAAAAAAATATTAAAACTAAATAATTATTTATATTGATTAATTTGATTTTTAGATTATTTTAATAATTTATTTATTCTTTTTTAAAAAAAAAAGTTATTCGCTTTTAAAAAATGAGTTCAACCAGTTTAACCAGTAGTATTTCAGAACAAACATTTGAAGCAACATTAACAAAACCGAAACTTTTTTTATATCTCACAAAATTTATTAAACTCCCAAATGTGGAAGAAGTCTTTTTAACAATTAATGAAAGGGGTATTATGTTACAATGTGGTCGAGTTAGGGTTAACCGAATGTGTGCTTTTATTAGTTATAAAAATTTTGATACTTATTACCTAACCAACCTAACCGAATTACATGTTACAATATTAAGAAAGCAACTGGAAAAAATATTATCTTCATATTCGGAAGCAGATAATATACGTGATATTGACAATGATATAATGCCAGATACAATAGATATAAGAAGAGAGAATGCTCTTGGCGTAATTACATGGAAATTTAATTTTCTTTCAGATAATTTAACTGTAATAATTAATCGAGATAATGACTTTCGTTGTAATTTCCCTTTGGAAATTATTTCAGCCAATCCACTTGAGGTTTTTACTCCTCAAGAACATAATTTATTATTGAAAATAGATATACGAGGTCATAAATTTAAAAGTTGGTTCGGAAATGTACTTAATTGTAAAAATAAATTTAGATTTCAAAGTTCATCACAAGGTCTTTTGGCTACGTTGTCAAGACCACGTCGACCTTCTGGTCGATACGGATTCGAGATAGGAATATCAGAAGATTCTGTTGTGGCTAATTATTCACATGATCGTCAAGTATTTGACTTTTGGTACTACGAAGGGCATATCACTCATGGTTTCTATAACTCTGTGATTGATGATGGGTGTGTCAGTATTGAAATTTATGATGATGGAATTTTACGTTTTCTAAATAGAAAGATCAAAGATATGTTTGATTTTAGAGCCGGGTTTATGTTAGAGCTCATCATTTATCCTGCTGCCTCGGACGAGTAAGATCTTCTTATGCAGTAATGTTTCGGTATAATTCTGTATATATTAATTGGTCTTTTTTTATTATTATTATTACTATTATTTATTTATCCATTTATACAAGATAAATAATAAAATAGAATTACAGTAAAAAATTTTCTTCTGCCTACTAATTTTATTATTAATTATTACTACAGTTGATCTCCTATAAAAACCTCTATAGTCACATCATATGATTTAGGTGTGATGGAAGGATTGACTAAACGTGAAATTCATAAGCCTAGAATGAAAGGAATAATATATTATAAATTTATCTATTTAATTAAAAATATGGGATAATAATAGGTAATACTATTAATCATATATGCTCTGAGCACTGGTCAAAGCTGTCATCATAGAGCTAGAAGGCGAAGTATCATCTCCCGAAAAAGTTGGTTTTTGAATTGCAAAGGGAAGAGTTGTTTCGGGTGATTGAGCAGCTTGTTCGCTAGGAGATGGTAAAATTAATTGAGGTGTTCTTGGATATAAAGTTGGTGATGATAAATTCTGATCGGTTTGAGGTTGTTGAATTAAATCTGTAGTATTAGAATTAGATAATTTCTTAGGAGAGGATGAAGGTTTGAAATTTTCTAAATTTTCTGTAATTTGATGAGGAGTTGCAGAATCTCCTTGCTTATTATTGTTTTCCCTTCGTTTCTTCGCTTTTGCCGATTCAGTTAATTTATCCCATCGTTCTTTATATCTCTTCATAAGAGCTTTCTAAAAAATAATAATCAATAAACGAATTAATTCGAATTAATTGCTACAGGAAAAAAATAATAATAATAAAATAATAAATGTTGAAAATTTTCATCATTACCTCAGATTTTACAAAGCGAAGTTCTTCTTCAAGTTCTTTCACACGTTTTTGAAGATATTGAACATTATTTACTATAAATATTTCAATAAGATAAATAATGATTAAATAATATTGATAAAAATATGCTAAATTAATGATAGATTATATTACTTGTTGAACTTTCAGGTGAAGTCTTCATTACGGATGTTGAACGCAACATTTCTTGACTAACTTTGATACGCTTTGCCTATATAAATTTTAAATATGAATCAGTGATGTAAAATAAAACGAAATACAGAAAATACAGAAGAAATATATTTAAATTAAAACCTGTTTTTGAAAATCATTTTTAAATTGTAGAATACTACTTCTTAACATACTATTCTCTTCGGCGGCCTGTGATGAATATACTTGTTAATAATGTTTCCTTCTTTTCTTCTATTACCTTATATAATGAACAATATATAATTCACCTTTTCATAAGCTAACATTCGTTTAGACATTGTATCTAATATAGATTTAAGCTGTTTGTTTTCCAACGAAAGCTCCTCTAAAGTTTTATTCGAAATATTTTTACTATATTATAGAATTATATAAATAGAATGATTTTATCTCTTATTAATTTTTTTTTTGACTCTACTACAATCTTTCTTCTTTTCAAAATAAAAACCTTTCAATTTTTCCGGATGAAGGATTCATTCTTGAAGAGGAGGATCGTTGATGACTTTGACTTTCATTTCTTAAAGATGGTTTTTGTTCATTCGGTATGATAAAGAATGATTCCATCATAGCGGCACTTAATTCATCCACTTTAGAATCTGTAATATATAAATTTCATAAATTTAATATTACGTTGAATCACGACAAATATTAAAAAAGAAACAAAAGAAACAATGAATATTTACCACGAATAACACCATTACTAATATTTGCACCATTACTAATATTTGCACCATTACTAATATTTGCACTGTTACTAATACTAATATTTGCACCGTTACTAACATCTGCACCATTACCAAAACCAAATGGTAAAGGAGGTGGTATGGTATTGGGATCAAAGAGAATATTAGGGTCAGTTCCGTTAAGTGGTACTGTTGCGAAAGCTACAGGATTTGAGATCTTTGAAACTAAAGACTCAACAATTCCCCAAAATTTGTTGAAAGGATCTGAATCGTCATCCTAAAATAGAATATTATAAAATATTTATAAATATTTATTAAAAATGTTATAAAATTTTAATTCATAATAATAATAATAAATGTAAAAATTTACATCTGTTGGATCATTATTTCCTCGTAACAACATGTATGATTCATCTATTGTCTTATCTGTAATTGATGATGTATCCAAAGAGACACTTGGTGTGTCTCTTGTCACACCTATAGAAATAGTTGCTAAAATGTGAAATTGGTAAATAATACTATTATAATTTATTAATAGATTTTGGATTGATATTGAAATTTTTTTATTACTTTAATAATTACTCACAATCTGACAAAGCGGGATTTCGTTTTAAATTTGAATCACTTGATAATTTATTAGTCCCAGATCTTGATGTAAATCTTTCATTTGTATTTCGAGAACTTATATAAGAAGTAGGATGAGATTCTTGTTTCTCAGAATTCGAATCATTCTTTGATTGTGAGGAAGCGGCGTTCGATTTTGATTGAGTGGATGATTTCTTAACATGAGAAGGATTTTTTAGATGCGCCTGTGTTGTTTGCTTTGGTTGCATTCGTTGATTGACTTGTTGTACACGTCGTTGCGATTCTTTTCCTTGTCTAGTATGATTAGCGTAAAGTAATTTTAAGGTCCGTACTGCCTATTAACATTTATTATTATTAATATTAATAATATTTTAAATATTATAAATAATTATTGTGTTATAAAATTGAAGAAAAATGAAATCGACTTAAGTTCCTTACTTCTGGATCCGATGTATAATTCATTGCTAATAAAAATTGTTCTAAAATCATCAAATCGTTAAAAAATTTATTAATAATTTTATTTCCAAAATCAACTTAAATACACGAAAATCATTTTCAATACCAGCAGCACGAAAATGAGCTTCCATTGCTTTAGCCCATTGTTCTTTTTCCTCCAACTCTTCGGCTGCATTTGCGAAAGCGTGGGCCTTAAAAGTTAACAAATATATATATATATATATATATTATTTTAGATCATAAAGAAGAAAAAACGAAAGCTTTTTAACTCATTGAAGTACCGCATTGACTGGTGTGTCTTCCATTGTTAAAAATTTAAATATTTTGATTCGTTAATATTTCGTTAAATATTTCGTTATTAAATGTTTTAAATGAGATTTTTTTCCAAATTAATCAAATACATTTTGTACAACATGGTCAATGTCAAGATATATTGACACGTTATCCCAAAAAAAAAATCTATCCTTCCTAAATTCAAAGGTGCTATGATGGATGGCAAAATCTTGAAAAGAATTCCTTGTTTTTTTTAAAAAAAAAAACTTGGGATCAGGTGAAGAGGTGTGCTTAACCATTTTACCTTGTTACATTAAAAAGCGCACATATTTACATCTGAGCAACAAAAAATCTTTGAATTTATGTGTAAGGAAATATTACTTATTTATTCGTTAGTTCACTTGATTCAATTTTCACAATTTTCTTTAATAAAGTTATTTTGAAAGGTCTTAGATCTATGTCGAACAAATTAATATTTGTTTTTAATATTTTATTGTTTTACGTTATCAAAATCAAATTTTCAATACTTGAATAATAAACCTCAAGAAAATGAATGAATTATAATTAACAATGAATGAATTATAATTAACTTAGTGTTTTTTATCAATGGTATAATGATAATCTACACTAATAAATTGTAAAAAAGATAATAAAATTAACGAAATAAAGGTTATCAAAGAATTAATCTAAAGAAATAAGAAAATATATGTGTATTTTTGGGAAAACGATGTCTTTTCTTTCATTGTTCCCTTCACTTGTTTTAATTAAGCATATCGGTCAAAGTTCACATCAATAATGCGACCTCCATATGTGTATCCGCCAAACTTTTCTGTAAAAATAAAATATTTGTATTAAAACAAGTAAAAAAATATTAAATAAAAATTTATTAATTAATAAAAGATATTTTTTAATAAATGGTGAAGGCAAAGGATTCCTCAATTCATTCCTTTTTTTTACTCATTTTTCAGTAGCTTACCAACTGCAATTCGCGCAGATTCATTTGAATCGAATTGTACTACTCCGGCACCTTTGGGTCTCCCATTTTGTTCTAGAATTTCTGCCCTTAGAACATTACCTTTAAAAAATAATTAATCGAATTAATCGCTTTTGTATCTTTACTTAGGTGATTAATATTATCTATCTATATATATATATATGTATTATTTTTTTTATCAATAACTTACCACAATATTTAAAGAGGTCTCTTAAATCCAGATTAGTTGTAGTAAATGGTAGCTAATTTATCCCAACAAAAAGAAAACACCTTTGTTATTAATCCCTACTACAGCCTTTAAATTCAACATCACTTCTAATTAAATTATCCTTATTAATAAGGTAAATAATTATCTTCCTTCATTTCAATCCCCCTTCCGAAACTATATTTTTTTTTCTTAAAAAAAAAAAAGGTATCACATATAAAGAAGAAACTATAATTGTTTCCTTCCAGCATTTATATGATATAAACTCAACCCGATGTACAACAACATCCCAAAATTTAACATCAAATCAAAGGCCTTCCTAATAACCATCGTAAAAGTTCTTACATTTCTGACAAAGATTTGTGTACCAGACCCACCAGCCGTTCCAGGAGGAAAGTAACTCGCTGACCCGTCATATCCTCCAGTTGCACCACCATATGGGGGAATATAACTTCCGCCAAATCCACCGCCGTTATAATCCATTATGCCTGCACCAGCAGTGTTAAAATCATTATAACCGCCACCGTATCCATCGTATTGTTCTGGGCCAGGACCTATAGATTGATAAGTTGAACCATATCCTGTCGGTGGAACGGCTGCTGGACCATAAAATCCTCCAGCAGAGTTATGTCCGTAATTACTCGGACCCGTATAAGGACGTGTTGGACGACTTGTGAACCTTGGCGGAGGTGGTCCTCCGGCAAAACGGTCCTATCATATATAGAGGAAAAAATGCATTCGGAAAAAGAAAACCCGCCTACTCAATACATGCCTCAAATTCACTCCCCAACCCATTAAAAAACGCATTAAGCAGAGAAAATACGGAAGAAACAACGTGTTTATGCTTTCAGCCACGCACGTTCTAACTACCGTTCACATTTTTGTCTCCACCCAAATTTTTTTTTTCGAACCAAAAAAAACAACCAAATAACGCCCCACCTCACGGACTTCAATCCTTCTCCCATTCATTTCGTACCCATCGTACATAGCTAAAATAAAAACAACCATTTAGCTTAAATTACCCCAAATATTAATTTTTAACTTAATTTAACTCATTCTCTTTCTTAATTTCTTTCTATCTTATTTTAATCAATTCAACACAAACTCCCAAACACATTATCAACAACATACAAATCGCATTTGCAGCATCTCCTGGTGTCTCAAACAGCACAGTCCCTGACCCTTTTGATCTCCTATCCTGACCAACAAGTATATCAGCTCGAATAATATTTCCTAAGGAAAAAAAAATAATCAACATAATGTTAAAAATCAATTTCATAAAAATATATATGTATATATACAAATAAAACTAAAAAAAAAAAAATAACGCATTTGATTTTTTGAACACACCTGCATTTCTAAAAAGATCTTTTAATTCTTGCCAACCAACTGAATAAGGTAACTAAACATTTTTTAAATGATAATAAAATGATAATTTAGAAGTTACTGATGTATAATAAAATATTTTTTTAAAAATAAAATTTAAAAAGCGAGACATAATAACTCACATTTCCAACATAAATTTGTCTTCCAGCGACCCCACTGCCACCACTACCACCACCACCGCCACCGCCACTGCCACCACCAATGTTTGGTGTATGATGATGATGATGATGATGATGATTATGATTATTGTTATTACTATTATTATTATTATTTGGAACTTGCATTATTCTTTCCGTCCTATTTAAATTCAAACCAGTGCCAAATTTCGCTTCAGTCTCACGATCCTAATAATAATAAAAATATACAGATAAACCTAACTTTCAGTGAAAAATAATCCTTGAAATAAATTTTTTGAAGAATACCTCTCGAATGAACACTGGCCGTCCCAGCAGTTGAGTATCATTTAATGTTTCAATTGCTCGTCGTGCTTCTTCAGGAGTACGATATTCAACCACACTTTTATAAAAATTTCAACTTGCGATATAGTTTTGATATAAAAAAATAATAATGTCAAAAACTCAATTATATCATACCCGCATCCCTATAATTCCATATATAAATTTCGATTTTTAATTTTTTGGAGGAAAAAAAAAGAACTCAGAACTTAAAAAAAAAAAAATTCTTTTTTACGGATATATTTATTATACCTTTGACATGCCATTAGGTTGAATCAAAACATCAGCAAAAACAACTTCGCCGGCTTTAATATTTAAAAAAAAAATTTTTTAAGTAAAATGTTTTCAATAAATTATTTTTTTTTTAAAAAAAAAGAAAACAAATTAAAATAAAATTAAATTCATTTTTTTTTTCTTGACAGTAAAAACCTTGGCGCATAAAATCTTTTAATTGTGCCCATTTAACTTCATATGCTAAATTCCCCACATATACACGACATTCTTTTTGTGATCTTTGCGAAGCGTTTATGGCTTTTTTTTTTAAAAAAAAAAAAAAAAAACAAAAATGAGATTTAAAACAATATTGGAAAGATTAATATATTAATAATTATTTATATTGTTAAAAACAAATTAATTAATTCGATGTCAAACCTTGTAGATAGTTGGACGATGGCTTGGGACTAATACGTCCCATGGTATTCTTTGAAAAAGTTGTCTGCCTACCTGCCGTTTCCCGTGCTGATAACCTTTGACTATAATTTTTGTCCGGTCTATGTGAAATCAAAACCCTCGTCTCCCTTGTATCTCTTGAACGACTACGTAAATTATCTCGCCTTTCTCGGTCTCTCTCTCTATGAAGTTCGCGTGAATTAGGATGCCTTTCATCCCTTTCACGTCTATCTGGTTCATAATGATGATCATTGTTATATGGACGACTTTTAAGTGGACGATAAGTATAAAGATCTCTTTCTCGTTGTGGAGTTCGCGGGGAACGAGAACGTCTATTGGGTGGAGTTCTCCTAGGTGACCTAGTACGAGATCTTGAACGTGGTCGACGTGGTGATAAGGATCTACTAGTAGACCTTCTGACATAACCGTTGAAAATATTTACACAACGAGATACAAATCAAAACCCCCCTCCCATTATTTGGACTTAAAGTTATTAAAATAAAGTTACCTTCGTCGATATTTAAGGTCATCGTCATCCGTTCTGTTACGTCGACGATCGTCAATGTTATAACGATCGTCTTGATGATCTGTTACGATGTCGTCGGCAACGGTTAGGGAATCAAGTGTATTATTGATTGGGTCACTTTTGGGAGTGTGAGGCCCAGTAGACATTTTTCCAAACCTTTCAATCGAAATAAAGTCTCCAGAAAATATGTTTCAGAATTGATAGAATGATTGAGGGTAGAGTTGCCTATCAATTTTGTTATCTAATATTTTTTTGTGATACGTTGATTTTTACCTATAAATCCACCTTTAGCAATTTTAAGCATAGGACAAGTCACAATTTTGATCATCATGTTACCCAAATATTTATATTAGATTTATAATAGCATTCAATTGATTTAGCAAAGGTATTGTTTTTGATATATTTTTTGATATATCAAATTTCATGTGCTATTTAGATCCGGAAGTTTACTTAGAAGAGTATTTTTTATAGTAATAAATTAAAAATAAACTATTCTAGCAGTATAAATAATATTTAA